GGCAGGGGGAGCCGCCCGGCCCTGCCCGGCTCCGCGGGCTGCGGCCCCCAGGCCTCCGGGTGCCTTCGCCGGAGCCCCAGGGAAGTGCCCCCCGGCCCTGGGACCCCTCGGGCGCGTCTCGGCGGCCGCTTCCCCAGCCTGGCACCGGGCTCCGGTGCCCTTCTTACTGGTGTGAGGCAAACCCGCTTGCTTTCGTACGGCTGCTTTCCCTGTGAGGTTAGCGCTGGGATCCCGTGGTGTGCGTGTTGGTGTCTGCCTGTGCTCAGCACAGGGATAAAAAGGGACTTTGAAGCCAGAATACTTTAGCCTTTAATATTTGGGAAGGGGTTGTACTGGAGAAAGTTGCTCTTCATGACCCAGATTATTGAAAGGTGTTTTATGACAAGGAAGAAGCCATGTAATGTTGGTTGGATTTTGCCAAGGTGTAGGCAATCTGGGCTGTGCTTGGCTTTTGTCTGTGATTGCTCCTTGTGACCTTTCATGCAATATCCATTTGCCCCACAACAGCTGTTCTTCCAGAAGCTTTATTGTGACCTTTATTGTACAGAGAAGCTTATAAAATCAATAACACATCACAGCAAAGATGCTCATCATTCTGTCTGGGAGAGTTTTCTCTTTTTGGAATGTGCTCCAGGTTTCTGGCTCCTTCACAGCTCACCTCCCTAAGGGTCACCTATAATAATTGTCTAGTCCTGTGTGTCCGGAGCTGTTAGCAGCTTCAGTAATGTTTTGGAGATGACCAGTGGTGTCAATGGCTGACAAGTGGTACAGTAGCAGTTCTACAAGTACTCTCTGGAGATATGGAAGGAATGGTGCTCAAAGTGTTTGTGTTCATGTAAAAATGCAATTAAAATATTCTTGACCTGACATTCTCCCCACAGCCCCTCCCTTTTTGTTTTTTTTTTAGCTGGGGATTTCTTATGTTTCTTTAGTAAATAGGAACCATAACATTTTGTCATCTGTGTTCAGCTGTCAGTAACTATTTCAACAAAGTTTAAATACCTGGAGTGATTATGTATAACAGCTTCTGTCAGACTGTGGTAGTTGGCTGGGTCTGTACCCAGAGGTAAGAGCTGAATGCCTGGAGGATCACTTGCAAATTCTATGAACTGAGTTTGGATATTCTCCTCTTGACTCACTGTAGGAGAAGGGAGTGTTGAACTGCCCAGGCCACGTTCTGACTGCTCATGTGTGCTGTAATTAGTAGTTCAAGCTCTGTACAGTATTACATACTGGATGATCTGCAGACAAGTACATAGTAATGATGTAATTGAATTTTAAAAAAAAAAGTGAATTCTGTGCTGTGTTCTAACTGAAGTTATTGGAACTTAAATGGCAGTAGGTCCTTGAAATGAAATGCATAGTATGAAAGTCCAGAATGTAATTTACAGAGCAAAATGCTTCTCTGATTACTGGCTTGCCTATTAAAGCAGAGGCCAAAGAGGCATTTCTGTTAAAAAGGACAGTGGTCTCGCTGGGTATTACCTTGTTGCATCATTATGCTGTTCTATCAATACTACTAAAAAAAAAGTGATAATAAAAAAAGCTGTTAAATAGGTCACTTCTTATTCACAAAAGCTGGATACTTGTTTGTCTTCCATTGTCTCTTACTACCTGATGTCCTTGTTCTGTGTGTTGAAGCTGGGCTAGTGGCTAATCTGTGAGCAGTACTTGCTTTTTAACTCATATTTCCAAAGCTCTAAGAAATGTTTGAAAATTTACTGTGTTTTGTTTCTAGAGGATGCAGGTCCTTGGTGATCACAACTTTGGCTGTGAGCTGTTCTCATGATCTTCTGGAATTATTTTCTGCCCGCTGCACACCATCAGCTGTAAAGCTCAAGAACTCTGTTCCTGTGTAACATCTTGATGCTGCTGTTGCTGATGGAGAGAAACAGGACTTGGTAGTTCACTTGGTGGAAAATTATTCAGAAGAAGTACTTTCCAGGGATCTGAATTGTTTTTACCATGGACTCCTCATCCATTCAGCAGGACATTCACTCGGAGAACAGAAGCAGCAATGGAGCCCCTAGCAGCTCTGAAGAACTTCTGGATTGTAAATCTGAGTCAGATTTGCCAATCACAACAGGTGAAATTAATGGTAAGTCACTTCATGTGCACTGAATCACTTCCTAGTCTTACCCAGGATTCTTCTATTTTGTTAGCCAGGTGATGCTGAAGGAATTTTTTCCTTGAGGTTGAGAATTTATTGTACACTAGCTTTAAGTAGGTTTGGTGAAGGCCATGGCTCTGTGTATGGGAAAACTGTCTTTTGTTTTAAAACTTACTGTTTCAAAACAAAACCAAGCTATAAAGTACAACAGGCTATCATTTGAATATGTACTGTTCAGCATGTTTCTTTGTCTTCTGGTAGTGTTTCCAAGAGTATATACTGGAAATTCACTGGAAGTAGTGTGGAGTATACTTGTGGAGTAAACTCATGACTGGAGTACTTTATTCTGGCAAAATAAATTTGAATTAAATTTTAATATATTAAATCAATTAGGCAAAAATGAAAATGTACTCAAAAAGTCTTTCTGTGGAAGAGAGATTCTGGTATGTTATTATCTCAAAGTAACTTTTATATGGCTTTATAAGAAAATAATGGTGCAGCTGTTTACAAACATTCACTCGGAGAACAGAAGCAGCAATGGAGCCCCTAGCAGCTCTGAAGAACTTCTGGATTGTAAATCTGAGTCAGATTTGCCAATCACAACAGGTGAAATTAATGGTAAGTCACTTCATGTGCACTGAATCACTTCCTAGTCTTACCCAGGATTCTTCTATTTTGTTAGCCAGGTGATGCTGAAGGAATTTTTTCCTTGAGGTTGAGAATTTATTGTACACTAGCTTTAAGTAGGTTTGGTGAAGGCCATGGCTCTGTGTATGGGAAAACTGTCTTTTGTTTTAAAACTTACTGTTTCAAAACAAAACCAAGCTATAAAGTACAACAGGCTATCATTTGAATATGTACTGTTCAGCATGTTTCTTTGTCTTCTGGTAGTGTTTCCAAGAGTATATACTGGAAATTCACTGGAAGTAGTGTGGAGTATACTTGTGGAGTAAACTCATGACTGGAGTACTTTATTCTGGCAAAATAAATTTGAATTAAATTTTAATATATTAAATCAATTAGGCAAAAATGAAAATGTACTCAAAAAGTCTTTCTGTGGAAGAGAGATTCTGGTATGTTATTATCTCAAAGTAACTTTTATATGGCTTTATAAGAAAATAATGGTGCAGCTGTTTACAATAAAGTTCAGAGTGTGCTGGTTTGAATCAATTATAGAATTGAAGTTGGGTTTTCTATTCCAGCCTCACACACAGAGCAGACGTAGCTTTGAAGATCAGGTTCCTCAGGGCCTTGTCTTTTTGAATTCTGAAAATCTCCAAAGAGGGAGGCTCAGCAGCCTCTCTGTCCATTTCAGTACAGATTTCATTGTGACAGCCTTTCCTTGTATTGAATTGAAATCTCCATGTTTCCACCACAGGTATCCAAGGATATGTTGGTGTATAAGGATATGTTGGTAGATGGGTGGAGGAGTTATGTATGTTGTGGCTGTGTAGGTACACAAAAGTGAGCAGGTTACTTACGTAAAAGGAGGTGATCCTGTGATGAAGCTCTTAACTTTCTGCCCTCCTTGTACCACACATTTGTCACCTTGTCACAGGCAAGAAGGTGGAGGCCTGACACTTTATTTGTGTTTGCTGTGTTGCCTGTTCCCAGACTGGCAGTGTAGTTATATGATGATTCATTCATCTTTTATGAAGTTGGAGATAACACTTGGCTGTCTTCTCCTGTGTTGGACATCATCCAAACAATTGAATTGTGGCTTACAAATAGAGTGAAAGCAGCAGAAAGGCACATCACCTAGTTGCATCTCCTCCCCCACTGGTCTAAAAAGACTTGAAGTTGCGTTGACACTACTGCAATTAAATTACTTTAGTTCAAGGCAGCATTTAGATTCTGAGTGTCTCATGGCCTCAGGAAGTTGCCAGGAAACCATTCCTCCAGAATTTTGCACCAGATTCTGTTTTGTGTATGTATACGACTCTCAGTTGTGGAGGCAAAAATGTAAATAAAGTATAAACCTGATGCGGCCATAGCTGCAGTTTCTGACAGATGAGCAGAAACTATTTCTGAATGTACGAGGTACCTTCTTATTTTTGGCTTCTTGTGACTATTTGTTGTCCTTACTTCTCTTTTAAATTTAGTCTTGACAGTCTTTTAAAATGTCTTGAACTCTCACTTAGGTTGGTTAGTCATTAAAAAAAAGCAGTCCTGTCCTCTTGTCTTCCTTTGTGTCCTTGTTGCTCCCATCCCTTCCATCCTGCTTGCAAGTGCTATTGTGACCACATGATGAGCTAAATCAGAGGACTGATTCAGGCTAAAATGGCCTCAAAATGTTCTCTGCATGACAAATAAGGTACTCGGAAGTGGTTTAATTCAGATTTCAGAGACCTGATAGGCTTTGGGCAACCTAAGGCTGAAAAATTTTATTTTTACCCACATTCAGTTTCTGCATTCAGTTTCCTCTGAGCTTCTTCACTGTAGAAACATCTGTGCTGGCCTAGGGGAGGATACACTGCAGAGGGTGGAACAGATGGTTAGGGGTGCAAATTTATCTTTTCCTCTTTAAATTACTCTCAAGAGAATTTTTGTCTGCTCTTTAGTAACATTAGGGAAAACAACTTAGAAGTTCTGTCGCCCTCCCTGAAACTTTTTACAATATGGTTTATTTAATTTCAGGGTGCACTTTAATGTTGACCACATGAATGAATTATTATAGCTTTATTTTTTAATTGTTTTGCTTTCAGAAGTTTGTAGTGATTCATTATATGGTGTAAAAAGTTTAATAGTAGTATGTTAATGGACTGGGCTAAATCAATAAGTAAAGTTTTATTGAATCATTGTAATCAACTTCCTGGCTACAGAATCTTTCTGCATATGGATCTTAGAAACATTTAATTTTGGGAGATCTGTTTCTCAGTTCTGGTTTGTTTGTTTTTTTCATTCCCTCCACACCTTTGAGCAGACTTTAACAGAAGCAAACAGCTTGCTCAAGTCTGTAGCTCTGAGAGGAGGAAAAAATAGAAAGAGGAAACTTGCAAATACGTCATCATCAGAAATGCTAAATATTTTCAAACATGTTTATGAAAAAATAATTAAATCTTCCATATTATTCCAATGAGTTCCAGTTACTCCAATGTGGGAATGGCCAGAAAGACAGTGGCTATTTCAGTACCTGCTCATTTGAGATCTATAATAATTGTTTAAAATCAGTTACACAGTTTTGTTCCAGCAGCAGTTTCATAAATGTAGGTAATTGCCAACTGAGTGAAGCAGAAGTGCATGAGAAATGTTGAACTGGTTTTGAAGATGTATTTTTCCTGATGGAAATGACAAATAAAATATTAGTAAGTGGGGATAAAATTTATGTTAAAGGGTTTCTTGAATTGCCTTTTAATTGTTAGATTTATTATTTTGATACATGGAAGCTTTGCTGCTGTACTTTTAATGAAGACATCCTATTTGAAAAAATGTAAACTCTGTATGAAGTTGAGAAATCCTGCTTGGCCAGGCTTGATGGTGGATGCTTTCTGCCCAGTGCCCAGCAGCATACCAAATAGCTGAATCATTCAGCACAGGCCCAGCACAGTTGCCGAGTCTTATTTGTAATAGGTTGCCACTCAGTGTGACATCACATTACTTACACTTGATGTTTCCTGCCTAAACCTGACAAGATTTTAAAACCTGTGTGAGGTTTTGAAGATACTTTATGATAATTTTTGAGGTTCTGCTTGAAGGCAACATAGTAAAACAAATGAAAGGTACTTTTTCTGGTCTTTTTAAATGAAGAATCAGAAGTCCTTTGTAAAATTCCTCCCCCCAGTTGATGTCTTTAGCAATTTCTGTAGTCTTAGAATGTAAAGGCAATAGTGGTGGCATTATATTTGGGTGGGGGTGCAAAAATAAATGGCATGGCTTACAGTATAGCTCAGTGAAACTTTCTTTTCCAGCTACCAGTATAAACACCAACAAAGTGCCAAATGAAGAGGAAAGTCTGGTGATAAACAGCAAAGTGGACACCTGCCAGGATGGGCCAGATTTGCTCTTCCCCGACTCTCCTGTATCTTTTGACCCCACCAGCAATATGCAGGGTCAAGAGTCGTCCCCAGGTGTGACTGGTTTCCATGACAGCCTAAGGAAGTCTCAGGGAACTAGTGCTGAGGGCATAGTTCTTAGAAAAGAAGCTTTGCAGTCTCTCAAACTAAGTCTTCCCATGCAAGAAACTGAATTGTGTAAGCATCTGTTTATGGTGGTGCCCCGCTTTCTCTTGCTACATCGAGCTTTTTACTCTGAGCCTGGCTCTAGAATCCTGTAACATCACTTATTCTTGGACTAAACTTCATTTTTGCAGTAAGCTTTTACTTTGAACTACAATTAATTTTTCTTGGTGTTTTTTGTTTTGTTTTTTTCAATAAACCACCCTCTGCTGCAGCTTAGACACGTGCCTTACCATTTAAAAATTGTTCTTATGCTGGAGGGATATCTATGCATTCTGGGGCTGAAGCTATCCTAATCTCCCTGTTTATTAGGAGTGACAGGTGACATTAAAAAAAACAAACAGATCAGAACCAGGTGATTTTAAGCTGAGTAATGAAAGGGGGAAGAGAAGAGCAATAAAGGGGAGAGAACAGGGAATCCCTTATGTTGAGGTGTCTAATGCTGCAGGAGTTTTCTGAGATAATGTTTTAAAAAAGCCTTACTATGGGAAAGATTTAATGTGAGTCAACAGAAAGAAAATGAATCTGGGAAACCTCTTTCACCAATCTGCAGGGATTAAGTGGACTGTAGCTCTTGCTTAGTTTTATCATTTCAGTACTATCGGAAGTGCAGGACGGCTGAGGTTAAATAACAGCAGTAGTTTTGCTCTTGCTGCATAATCTCTTTTCACACATACGTGGAGGAACTACAGCAGTTGCAAACTGAGCAGTGGAAATAATCAGGCTTTATCAATGCTTACAGAAGGATATATTAGAAGAGGATTCTCTGAGGTGCATGTCAGTGGGCTTTCCTTGCATTCCTTGCTTAAGCATGAAGCATGTTGCTGATGGTAAAAGGAGCTCTCTACCCTTTTGTGTCAGATTTAGCTGTGCTGGAGTTTTCTGTTTGGCTGTAAAGATACGTTTCACTTACAGGCTCAGCAGAGTCTTCACTCCCACTGGAGAAAGAAGAACAAATAAGACTTCAAGCAAGAAGACGTCTGGAAGAACAGCTGAAACAATACAGAGTGAAGAGACATCAAGAAAGAGTGAGTACCACACAGCAGATTTTATAGATTGTGTGATTTTGAAAAGCTTGAAAACCTTATCCTTTCTGTGGTCTAAATTGCTGTTTTCTCTGTCTTGAACAGTCAGTAATTTTCTTAAAGTTGCGAAAGCATTTTTTTCTTCTGAACATGCAAAACTTGGTTCTGTGTTACCTCATTGGTAATGTACCATCTGTGCTACTCAAAAAAAGGGAAATAAAAACCAAACCCAAAACTTAGGTAACATAATTGTTCATTTTTTCCTGTATTTTTTAGTTAGTTTTTGGAGGCTACCTTGGTTGTTTTCAATATGCATAAACTGAGCCTTGATAGGGTTAACTGCTGATTTAATTTGCCTTGTTTTTAAATTATACATATATTTAAAGATTAGTATAAAAGTTTAGAGAGTTATGTATGAAGTTCTACAGCAAAATAGGTCTAGTTCAGATGTGACATTCTGGAATTATCTTTGACTCTTTTTTTTCCTCTTAGTCTAATCAGTCTACATCCAAAACCCGGCCTTCCAGCACCCTGGATCCTGAGCTGATGTTAAATCCAGAAATCTTGCCAAGAGCTAGCACTGTAGCAATGACAAAAGAATACTCCTTTCTGCGGACCAGTGTCCCCAGGGGGCCAAAATTGGGTAGCTTGGGACTTCCAGCATCCTCAAAAGAGAGAAGAAATTCAAAATCTAAGCCCAGTAAGATCCGGTCCTTGGCTGACTACAGAACTGAAGATTCGGGCTCTGGAAACGCTCCAGGGAATTTTGTGGCTACTGATTTATCTGGTGGGACTCTGAAGCAAAGCAGAAGTGGTCCAACATCAGTTGTTTCCGAGATTAGTCTGCCCTCTGACGTAGATGATCGAATAGAGAATTCCTCCTTGGCAGGAGATAGCTTTTCCGAGATTGATGGGAGTGACGTGGGAATGAGGCTGGATGGAAATGAGAGTGACAGCTCAACCTACAGCAGCGTGTCAGGAAGAGGGCTGTATAACAGTTTACAGACTGCAGAAGCCAAACAGGGTATTCCGTATACAATAAACGGTCAGAAGATACATCCTGATGCAATGGGGCAGTTTCCTTCCATCAGTGATGTGCTGCAGGCTGCAGCAGTGGAGCATCAGGCCCAGGAGCAAGAAGTTAATGGGGAAGTACGGAGCAGGAGAGACAGTATTTCTAGCAGGTAAGAAAGATTTCTGTACAGTGAGGCCATTCTTAGGCATTGTACTTTCTTTGAATAGGCAACCTGTTATAGGCAACCTGTTACTCTTGCCTACTTACTTTGGGTCCAGTTTTCACCTACATTCATTTTGATCAAATCTGTTCCTAACTTACAGATGCTAAAAGAAACTGAAAGGTCACTTCACCTGAGTGCCTATTTACTAAGTTTATCTTTAGAGAAGGATAGCTTTGCCACTGACTGTTTGAAACATTCTGGCAGCAGCTGCTTCTGTCTATATTTGCTTGTGAAACAGCCCTTTGTTTGCTGAACCACAGATGCAGCATTGGTCTTTAAAGTCTGAAAGTGTAGACCTAACTGACTGAGTGATACTTACTACCATCCTTTCCTGATCTAGGCACCTTTCAGCCCTCAGATAGTTAGAAAATGCCAAGAGTCTTGTCCTACATACTCTTTATCCTCTCCAGCCCTTTAGAATGAGATTTACTTAGCCTCGCAAATGTATGTGTATATGGTAAGAATTTAACTGCGATACAGCAAGTGAGTGGATGGCTGGTGAAGACCTTAACAATGCAGTTGTGTCTGATATTAGTTATCTGCACGTGCATGTTTAATACAGGATAATTTTGGAATTACCTTCCCCTCCCCCTTTTTCTTCGGAATATAGTGTAATGCCCTGACAAGTTAAAATCAATTGTTGACAAGTATTCCAGCTTAGACTTAATTCTTACAGTAATGAGAGGGTAAGATCTTCCCCCTTTTCTTTAGACTCCTTGGTTGTACATAAGGGGAGGAGCTTAAGGAATCCCTCATACCAAATACCTGTTCTTCCTCCTTTTGCAGCAGCTGTCGATATTTTTCGGGCACTTTCACATTAAAGCAGACAATTGCAGACAATAGTTGTGGAGGTTTTGTGCTCCTATTATGTCCATTTATCTGCTTGTAAAGGGATATACAAATACAGGATATAATGAAGCAAACCATAACACTTCTGTAAAATAACATACACGGGTGCTACACTAGATTCTAGTTGCTGCAGATATAGGAAACTAACATATAAAAGCATGAATATAATTTCTTTATGTTGTTGATTGGTACTGGATCTTGTTTCACTGTGTTCAGGATAGATCATTAAGCCAGAAAAAAATGTTCTAACTTCTAGATCACGTGTGCAATCTGAGTACCATTTCATTTCAGCTTCACTTTCTTTCAACGAGATGACTGTCATGCTCTAACCCTTTAACTGTCTATGTGGTGTCTCTGTCTCCAGTGTTTCTATGGAAAGCTCTGTCGCAGGGACCCATGACGAAATGTTGCAGGTTCTGAAGGAGAAGATGAGACTTGAAGGGCAGCTAGAAGCACTCTCACTAGAAGCTAATCAGGTAGACAATTAATTTGAGTTTCTGTATTTAGCAAATTATATTAATATGTTAATTAATTTTGAAGAACTTCCTACTCATTACTTGTGGGAAATGTGTGTTGTAAAAGCATTATTGAATAAGGTTGTACGTTAGGAAACATAAAACTTTACAACGTACTTTACAAGGATGTTTAAGAGGATAAATTTAAAGTCAGCAAAGTCTTCAAAGGCTTTAATTTTTTTTTTTTTAATACAAAAAATCAAATTGAAAGATTATAAATCCAGAGCAATGCTAGTGATGTCTATATAGCTGCATTTTCTCTTTGTATTGATGGATACTGTAACACATGTCATAGAAAATGTTCTTCCTTAAGATGTGGAAACACGTCTTATTAAAAATCTTGACATGGTGACATATAACACTGTGGTCCTTGTCTGTGCTTTCTTCAGTATTTTCTTTGACTATTTGAAATACCTGCTGGTGAGATGTCACTTTAGAAATAATTTTTTACAAGCAAATGGTCTTTACCTTAGCGAAGCTGTTTTGCTGGGCATCTTCTTTAGCTAGCCATTGATATATTTTCTCTTAAGATTTCCGTATTTTGATTTTTGGAACACATTCAGGCTCTCAAAGAGAAGACTGAGCTACAAGCCCAACTTGCAGCTTTGAACATGAAGCTTCAGGCACAGATGGAGCACAGCCAGAACAGCCAGCAGAAGCAGGAATCTCTGAGCTCAGAAGTGGCCACATTAAAGCAGTCTTGCTGGGATCTGGAACGAGCAATGGCTGACCTGCAAAATACCTTGGAAGCTAAGAATGCTAGTTTGGCTTCTTCAAATAATGACTTGCAGTTAGCAGAGCAGCAGTACCAAAGACTCCTGCTGA